CAGAGGTGGGTACTCTACTTAGTAGGTCAGTAAGCGAATATATGGAACATTCGATAGTAACAGTGTTTTGTCAACACCGGCCCGAATTGACTCAGCACATATCTTCCATTGTCGACTCACTTGGCCCAAGCTTCAAACGGGAATTTACTGACCACTTCTTCCCATCAATCTTTCCTGAACTACTACAGCGATTATGAGAGCCATACCATATGTTCATACATTGTATCATACATACTTGCCATTTTTGAAATAAATAATATTATCCCTAAAGCCCCGGAATATCCTAACTCGGTCAGTGGTGAATTAATTAGACTAGTCAAGAGGGCAAATGCTTTGGAAGAATTTACCACCAATAGCCAAGTACAACCATCCAAGAAGACTCGGTTCTCCTCGATACTCGACCACAAGCCGTCCATTCAAGGTGATGGGTCCTAGGAGTAGCTATTGCAATGGACAGATGGGGAGCGTACCTGGACGCATGAATCAGACATCGCAGATGCTGATGTTCTTATACTATAACGACAGCGCATCAGACGCAAGCGAAGACAATCCAGCCCAACGAAGTCAACAGCAACGAGTACCGATGAGCGATCAGTGAGCAACAGAAGCCACGAGGCGGGACTCAACCAAGTTTCACTGACAGCGCAGGACACTCCCACTTTTCTAACATAGAAACATGCTCTGCCCACAAGCCAGAGGGATAAGGACCAAAAGCTCAGCTAAAACCCTGTGAGAGCACGGTGAGTCTCGTCATATCATAGTTATAAAATTAAGTAATATGTAAGAATATATAATGTTGGCAGGTTTTTAGTCTTAACCTTTTAAGGGAAAAGTTTTTCCCTGTACAAAAACACCACCCTAAGATATACTTGTACTGTAAGATGTCACTTTTCACTCCTTCGCAGGCTCTGATGTATAAAGTTGGGGGGCTTTATCATCTTGCTAAAAAACCGCAGCATTATCAAATACTGATTTTTGGGGTCCGGATCCAGTATTTCTGATATTCGAGTGATCAGAAATATAGCGGGACTACCGGTAGATGATACCGGGACCCCCGTGCGTGAGAAAAACACTCACGTAGAATATGAGTCTAGTGTAGAAACATACAACACAAATGAAGATTCGATGCTAGTCCTTCAGTCTAGGACTTTTACCTAGCTGAGAGATTTGCACTTGAGAAGAGGTCAATTGTTTCATTCGTATCTTAATAATCTAATCTTTAACTCTACAGGTACGAAGTGAGACCAGAGTGGGGGGTGATGGGTACCCCACCATGAGCGAATCACGGAAAATGTATATCGATACCTGAGATAACACCGGATATGGAAAGGACGGAAATGGACAGACTCAAAAGTCAGTGAGTTCTTAGGATGTGCGACGAATCGGTGCAATACCTGACACACAACGCATTCACAATTCTGAATTCGGATGAACTTCGAGCGCGACTCATACTGGATCCAAAAACAATCAACAAGAGGGCTCAAGTTCAGAAATTCGGAATGGAGGGCTTGGGTAAATTGGCACATATTGCACGGAGGGAAGATCACATACTGTCAGTCGACTCCAAGGACTACCTTTACGCTTTGGGCGTGGCAGAGCCACATCTATGGCAATTCAAGGACAGCACATGGCAGCTTTGGTGCTTCGTAGCTCTTCTTATGGGCGCAACGATCTCTCCACGGTATTTTCAGCAGCTTTTGAACACAATGAGAAGAATGTACCACAAGATGGAGATTATTATATCGAGTTGTTCTATATGCAGACGACCTTTTGCTGTTGGCATGTCTTTGCAGAATAAAGAAGGATAGACAGTATATCAACGGACCCAACCAAAGTTTGGCCATTGGCAAGGGAGTTTGGGACTATCGAGATGGTCAGGAACAGAATTCGGATGACGGGCTTCATTTTCAGCCAAATTAACTCGCCTGACTACGACAACCTGCAGCATAGCGTTCCACAACCAAAGAAATATACCTCTAAAGCTCTGGCGATCATATTTATAACTAATAGAGTGAGGAGTGTTTGTAATACCTAATTTCAGACCCTACCTAGCCGAGATACATCACAGTGTGAATTCAAATCCGAAGGTAGTCCTGTCGGGGCAACACCCAAAAAGGTGAGAGCACTGAACACACTTC